CATTTAGAGTTGTCTTCTTTGGCTCATATATCGGCAAAAAATAAGAAGAATAGATTAAAATGTAATGAAAAATCCCATCCGTTTCAAACCCAGAGCTTTCTGTGGGACATTTCTATAAAAAAAACTTTCAACTCCATTTTTGTTATGAATCTATTTATTCTTTCAATATTCATATTAGAAGAAATCTTGTATTAACAAAATTTGGATTAACAAAAATTAAAAAATATTTTCAACAGTTTTTTACAATCACAAACTTGTATAGATTTCATAGAAATCTAATACAGTTCCAATAGAATGGATTTTGATTGAATTTTGAAGAACTGACATCTCATTGTTTTCCAATTTTTACTAAAATAATTATTCAATATTAAGGTAACCAAGAAATAATCAATTTCTGGCACCATGATGTTTGAACCATTACCCCCGATACAACTGAGAATTTACTACGTTGAATTGGTGAAAATTTGTTTGAATTTTTAGGCGGTAAGGTTTTTTAAATTTGAAAGGAAAGCGCGCGGTGCTCTCTCTGTCTAACTACGCCCCACTTCGTACACGCTGCTACTCCCACCCTGACTACGCTGGGCTCCACGCAATTGGGGTATTGTATTTCTAATAATGGGTCTAATAGGGTTTTATGGCCCCGGCTCGCGAGGATCCGACTTTGCCCATGCCTGGTCTCGAGGATTGGGGCGATTAGGACTGTTCGAAGGTCGATTCGAGGGATTTAATTAGAGGGAAAATATTCTAAATGAGGGTCGTTTATTAGGTTAAGTTTGTGAAGATGATTCACTTTTCTTCATTTTGGCAGGGCCCGGCTACCTGGGCTCATCGGGCTCAGGCGGCTCCCGAGGATCGTTAGTGACAGCTGGGAGAGGGGCCACAGCCACTTAAAGAAACTACCTGCTCTAATTCGATTTTTCTGTCTCCTTGAGCCTTGGTTCGACCGATACCGGAAGAGGACGGCCGTGCAATCGAGCAGTAATTTTCAACTTTTTATTTGAATTATAAATATTAATTTTTCCAGCGAAATCGGCAGCAATATTAGGCAAAAAAAATGTTTTTGTGTTTTCATGATGAGAAGTCTCCTTTGACAATTATGGTGTGTTTAGAGGATATTTGGTGGAATCCAATAAATAAAATACAATATTTGTCGACGATTCTGATTGAGCCATAACTTTGTCCAGTCATGTGAAGCAAATAATTCGTAGATAAATAGTCATTGTTGTGAGGGGCTGCTTGATTGTCATTAACAAAATTGAATTACTCATTTTTTACTTTGTTTAGCTACCAGAGTATCCAGAATATACCTCTGCATTGTTCAAACAAAAATACAGAATCCAACTCTTTCAATTTTTGATATACTGGAATATAATGTATTATTCGAACGAATTTTGGAGGGATGCATAATATTCGGGTAAGTTCAAAAGAAAATTTATTTTCTCATGTTCTGACTAACACAATTCATTTTTTATTTGGACGTTGAAAAATTAGCAAAATTCTAAGTGTAACATGAAGATCTGCAATGGAATTTCCAGGAATATATTTCTACTATATATTGACGTTTTCAATTTTATATTGAAAATTTGAAACTGAAATTTAGCGCCAAATCTGGCGAGTCAGCCATTTTTATTCGACCAGCACGCCACTCTACGTGTCTGACGGGAATAGCGTCACCATTGAGACTTATTCGTACACAATGGTTGGCTAATTGGATACCTATTAGGATGAGTGGATTATCCCGGCCCTTGTAATAGGCTGGCTCCCGACTACCGGAAGGTTCCTGGGCCTTGCATTTAGTTATTTTGAGTATTATTGTAGATACTACGGATTGGGGATTCAATGGTGGTCATTGAGGTTTTAGATATTGGGATATTTTTTAGAGGGTTGGTTTTATTAGGGACTAATTGTAAAAGAAGAAAATGTGTTTTTAATGTCGAATTTTTGGGATGTACGACAATAGGACCAAATGCGATATTGTTCATCCCCTAAAATTTGTATGAATGAATGGATAGTATTATCGTCAAGCGAAATGAATTAACTTACGTATTCCGTGAAACTTTCTGGAATGCTGCGACTTACATTATCTTGTTTCATCATTTCTTTATGAAAATAGAACAAGAACTTTCTTATACGACAATTGAGACTTACAGGACATAGTTACCTTCCATTGTAGGTGGATGATCACGCGAATAAGCGGTACCGCTGCTAAAAAACACTTTGTCATCGAACGCTTTGAGACAATCACTTGATAAAAGTTTTTTTGCTATTAGTCGCCACTATCCTTCTCCGTAATTACGCGAATAACTTGCCACTAATCGAGAATAAGGAATATTGGCGAACAACAAAATTCATTAACAATAAGACGTTGCAAAGCCGATGCAAAGCTGATCATCTGGATGCTATGACAGTAGAGATAGAGAGTGGTTTCTTTAAGTGAAAAATGATGGCACAGTTCAAATCAAAATGGAAATTTCAACGTCTGAATACTGAAAGCAATATTTTTTCGACCAGACATGTACGAATTAAGAAATTAATTCATAAAACAACAAGTATTTTGATTAAGAATATCGAAGTTTGTGCACAATATAATTAAATAATTGTACTGAATTACGAACCATTTCCTCTGATTACATTTTCGGGGCCTCAGTAATATATTTTGTAACACAGGATTCCTCTAAAAATTAAGATTATCAGACTACCAAATATGCACACACCATCGTAATTAAAAAAAATTATGAAACAATTTGAAACGATATGTGCAATAATGGCATCCTGTAAATGTTTTCTTTGCGCTTATCACTCATGTCGAATGTCAGCATTTTCTGGGATACACAAGTTAGGTTGCAAGTTACAGCTGCCTATCAAGATTATTTTTCTATACAATTTTTCCGACAGTTCAACAAATTTTCTAACATAAGATTCTAACGTTTGGCACATTCCCAATTTTTTACAACTTCCTTTGAGCATAGTACTCTGCACGCCGTACTAAAGTAATAACCAATGCTTATAAATTGTTTTGGAGAAACTTTCCTTAACATCACCAATTAAGCATACATAAGAATGAATTTTAATTCAACAGCTTGAAACTGCTCAAAATTGGTTAATGACCTAGTAGTTGGTTAGAATTCAATAAGTATTTGTAACTGTAAACTTATAAAATATTCAGATAAAAGTAATTGACGATTTTGACTCAACTTCACTTTTCTTTTTTTACTGGATATCGGACAATTCAAAAATTTTTTCATCACCCCTAATCTCAGCAAGTGCTTGAAATCTAAAACGAAAATATGAATCATGCCCAAAGAAGATTTTATATTTAATAGTAGAGAAACACTACCGACGGTAGTGGCCGTGCGGTTAGAGTGCTGGACTAGCATGCCAAGGATCCGGGTTCGATCCCGGGCACCGGCGGTCAAAAATATATAGCGCTCTGATCTCACGGTTCCACTGCCGAGCGGTAGTCCTGTCAAAAGGACGACTGTACCAGGGTAGGTTTTTCCCTCAGATGAGGTTTTCCCTCCCTTTCGGCAAATGCGGTACAGGGGGTTGGGGGGTGGGAAGGGAACAAATCGTAAAAACCCGAAAGGGTATACGAGTGAAAGAAAATTAATAATTAATTAATTAATTAATTAATAGTAGAGAAACACTAGAGTGTGATGATCAGCATTGTGTTGTTCTCGAAAAGTAGCATCAGTCCTTCTATCAGCATCCGTATTAGGATAAATAACTCGATGCTGTTCATATTCTTCTCGGACGACAGATCTCTCACACGCGAAATAGGCACCAGGTCCTTCGGTTTTGTATTTCCTGAATAAATTGCGATGGGGAACGATTCATAGAAAAACTTTTCACAGTGAACTCAACACAATACTGGCCGAAACTGTCTGGTGCTAGAATGAAACAATTGCATTCTATTGACATTGATAATTAAATGAAGTATGTTTGTCTAATGTAGGTCAGGATTCACACTCTCGACGAGAGTTCTCTCACCAAGTTTTCGTATCTTATATATAGCCTTTGTTGTCTCCAAAAATGTTTTAGAATATCTTGGAAGGGCAGCAATTATCGACGTCATAAAATTTTCAATAGTTGGTCCCTGCGGGTATGCGAAAGCGATGATTTGACTTCTACAGCCCACTCACGAAGTGCTTGGCTCTCCGATGCCTCAAGAAGTTCTTCATCTGAGTCTGAAAAATCCTCTTCACTAATACTAGCTTCACGTACATTATTCTCGTCGTAGACTAATTCTCCAAGCTATCCACTATCTTCAGTGTCAGAATACGCAGGCCGATCCTCAGTTATCCTCATCTGCTACATAATTATCGCCTACATCTTCATCTGTTTTTCTCAGATTTTGAGATTGGTTCCAATTCATTGGGGCCATAAAACGATTATCACTCGTTGAGTGCATATTCGGTAATTGGTACGGATTTATTTCAACATGGGAAGAATCGGTGGTAAATCCTTCCTGACTACATACTTCCTCCATAAATTCTAAGTCTAGTCCTCGATTTTCGTCACAGGCTTGTTTTCGTTTCTTTCTCCAAAATTTCCGCATTCGTATTCGTACCAGGTTACGAGTTCGTTTACGGGCTCGGGCATCCGAATGCATTAAAAAATTGAAGCAAATGAGTATCATTAAATCACTTTATTAAGGTTTGAAGACCAACTAATTATATCGGCTGATTATGTATATATCGGATGTGGCGTTCGCATGAAAGTGTACTATACTTAGGGTGCATCTACATGACCAGATTCATTTCATACAAATCAATGTTAAAAACGTGCATCTGACTTCTAGATTAAAATATTTGTAGTGAGTAAGTCCTACCGAGTGTGATAGTCATTAACATTTCCTCGAATGGCAGTACCGCAAATTGTGATGGGAATAGGTATTCAAGAAAAGCGCACAGACCCGAGTGGAAATTTTGGTCAAGTTCTAGTCAAGACTGGATCAGGTCATACTTGATGATTGATTCGGAAGTGACACGGTAACTGGATCAAATTTTGATCAGACATGTAACGCAAGTTTAAATCAAGACTTGATCAAACTTTTCTGATCCGGTTTAACGGTTCCGGATTTGATCAAGTCAAATGTATCTAAATCGGATGACTGGAATATCGAAAACAATAATAAATATTAACCATAACTCACTTAAAACAAAAGATAATTAATTTCTTTTATTATATCTGACCGCTCTTAATGAAGCCCGATTGTAATTAGCGATGAAAAAACCCTATTATTTTTGACAATGCTGGGGATCGAACCGAGGAACCTACGATTACTAAACCTACGCCCTAACCACTGGACTACCGCACTATTATTTTTGAGTAGATTCTTTTTACCTACACAATCTACAAGGGAGTATTTGATGACTTTGAAATTATTGCATGTACATTCTGAGCGAGAAAACATATTCGGTTCAAATTTTATTTCATTATTAAAAGATAATTATAATAATCATAACACAATGAACAGATACAAGTTTGATGATTTTTTTAGACTCAAGATAATGCGCTCTTATGTTTGATACTTCACTATATATATTGCCCTTGCTTCCTATACATTTGTGATTCTTTTTTATCGAGCTATTCAATTGAAAATCAAGGGAATTGAATCGGAAGGAGAACAAATTGTGTTGAGGCAGCTTGATCTCAGAGTGAGATCATGTTTATCTGACTTGCTGGGTCAAAACTTGGTCAGGACTTCATCAAGTGTCATCTGATCAGGCATGCTTGACCAGAACTTGATGTAAAGCCATTTGTAGTTTATAGGGTCCAATATACTGGCTCGAAACTTGATCAAGTTTTCATCAAGTGTCATCTGATCAGGCATGTTTGACCAGAACTTGATGTAAAGCCAATTGTAGTTTATAGGGTTCAATATACTGGCTCGAAACTTGATCAAGTTTTCATCAAGTGTCATCTGATCAGGCCTGTCTGATCAGAACTTGATCTAAATTCGCTTGTAGTTTTTAGGATCCGAAACGTTGGATCAAACCTTGGTCAGGTTCTGATCAGATCTTACCTGATCAAGCGAACGGCACTGAAACTGAATCAAGTTCTAATCGGACTTCAAGTTGACCTGAACTAATTTCCACTCGGGGACGAGCCGAACATGGCCTGCCATATGGAGTGCGCCGAGCAATAGCCAACGCTTATGCTTTGCTACCTCAATTAATATCGTGTTAGAGAAAAAAATATCTTTGATATTTAAATTTAATTTATGCAAATACACTTAAAAAAAATGTTCGAACCTTCAACATTGGGAGATATGAATTGTGCTTGCCGAGTTGGGCAGGTATCAGTCCTTCTAACATTGTCGAAGAAATACTACCCGTTATGTTTGGGTTAGGCATTCACGAAATGCGCGAATAAAGATCGAACATGGCCTGTCAAATTTGGTATGCGAAA